TATATTTAAAAAATACTATATAACAATAAACTACTAATATATACATATATATAATAATATAAAAAATATAATACAATTTTCAAAACCTTTTTCATCATTTTGGATAGAGTAGGAAATTGTTAAAACCAATGTCATTTGTTTGTCTTCCTTGAGATGTCCCTTCACTTCCTGTCCTGTAGACTCAACAGGAACTCAGAGGATATCTTTCCAATGTTAGGGCACAAGTGTCACCATGGGAAGATTTCCCCTCCATTTCTGTTCTGGTGACAACTCAAAATTTCACTTTCAGTCCCAGTGAAACTGGCGATCAGGACCGGGGCGAATCTCCATAGCGAGGGCAAAGCAATAAAAACCCGACGGGCTCCAACCCCTTCAAAAAGTTTAGCCTTTAGTCATATTTTAATCCCTAGGAGCTGCTCATGGAACCAATGGCTGCTTGGGATGTGCACGTGCTTTTACTGATGCCCATGCGAAAATGTCATTGATCCACCCCCCCTCCTGGTCCAATCAGCTGCGGTTGGAGCATTTACCACATGTGAAAAAGGGCGGGGAATACCCTGGCCGCAGCTGATCAGGCCGGGAGTTTTGTGAGAGCTTGGACAAACTCGATTGGCACTAAGCCCATACACATCCCTTTGGCATGAGGTAGCATGTAGCATTGATGCCCTGGGCGCCACTTGAAGAGGGGCACCTGTCCATGGGTCAGCGAAAGTTCACAGACCTACATAGACAGTTGACCTTTTCTCTTTCCTCACCCGTCTCCCATTCACATCTCACCGCCCGGCTCTTAGTAATCAGGGATGCTCTGGCGATATGATGTCACTGGTTACCAGGAGCGGGGCGGGATGCCAGGGGCACAATTATTATAAAAGGTATAAAATATGAGGTAGAACGTACATTTTGATGAGATTAATTCTACCTGCCCATGAGACAGTAAATTTAGTGAGGTCCGAGCAAATTGTTGTTACCGTTTTGGGGATGGCCCCTTCCTGTTCCAACATGACTGCGCACAAGGGGACAAAGCAAGGTCCATAAAGACATGGATGAGCGAGTTTGGGGTGGAGGAACTTGACTGGCCTGCACAGAGTCCTGACCTCAACCCAATAGAACACCTTTGGGATGAGTTAGAGTGGAGACTGCGAGACCGGCCTTCTCGTCCAACATCAGTACCTGACCTCACAAATGGTCCAACATTCCCAAAGACACACTCCTAAACCTTGTGGACGCCTTCCCAGAAGAGTTGAAACTGTTATAGTGGCAAAGGGCGGAGCCAACTCAATATTGAACCCTACGGACTAAGACTAGGATGTCATTAAAGTTCATGTGAGTGTAAAGGCCAGCGTCCCAATACTTTTGGCAATATAGTGCATATCCCAGTGACTCACCATTTCTTTTCACCTCTCCTTTCCGCTTCCACGAACTCCCTCCACACGTGGTCCTGCCTGACCGCATCCCCCCACGTCTGCTGCTCCTTATCCGCATTGGACAGGCCGGGGGGGTGTTTGGCCCCGGGGTGGCTCAGTGACACCGAGGATGTTGACGTCAGTTTTGTGGTGGTTCTGTCTGGCATCCTATACCCGGCGGATGTGGCCCTCCTCAATGGGATCTGTCTGCTGCCCATTTCCAGCGTCCGGTTACACAACGCAAGGCGATGAAATCCCTCTGCTTCCCCTACGCTGTGTAATGAGGTGGAAGGAAGGAATTTGCTGTGTGTGTCACCAGGACGTGGAGGGAGCTGGGCTGGTGTTGTGGAAGTGAATAGCACAGAGAAGTGTACACATTCCCTGTGTGTTTATTGTAGCCAAGGGTAACCAGATCTAACGGAGCCGAACAAAAGAACTGAGCGCCCGAGACTTGTATGCGTTACATCACAGGAGACTGCTATGGAGATCGGGGAGGATCATAATAAAGGATCAACATGACTGTGTTATAGTGTATACTGTAACAGCCATCATAATAAAGGATCAACATGACTGTATATATAATGTATTCTGTCACAGCCATCATAATAAAAGGATCAACATGACTGTATATATAATGTATTCTGTCACAGCCATCATAAAGTTAAGCACAATATTAAAATAGTTTATTTTTTCACTATAAAAACAACATAGTGACCAAGTTTCAGGGCTGATTCACCTCAGATGTGTCTTTATGCATTTTGCACAGAATACAATACATGCAATATATACAATACATAAAAAATATATACAATAAATACAACATATAGAATGCATACAATACCTGCAATATATATATAATGTATACAATACATACAGTATACTGCATACAATACATACAGTATAGTGCATACAATATATATAATACATACAGTATAGTGCATACAGTATATAAAATACATACAGTATAGTGCATGCAATACCAACAATATATATAATACATACAGTATAGTGCATACAATATATATGATACATACAGTATAGTGCATACAGTATATAAAATACATACAGTATAGTGCATGCAATACCCACAATATATATAATACATACAGTATAGTGCATACAATATATATAATACATACAGTATAGTGCATACAGTAAATATAATACATACGGTATAGTGCATACAATACCCACAATATATATAATACATACAGTATAGTGCATACAATATATATAATACATACAGTATAGTGCATACAATACCCACAATATATATAATACATACAGTATAGTGCATACAATATATACAACACATACAGTATAGTGCATACAATACATACAATATATATAATACATACAGTAAAGTGCATACAATATATACAATATATACAACACATACAGTATAGTGCATACAATACACACAATATATATAATACATACAGTATAGTGCATACAATACACACAATATATATAATACATACAGTATAGTGCATACAATACATACAATATATACAACACATACAGTATAGTACATACAATACATACAATATATACAACACATACAGTATAGTGCATACAATGCATACAATATATACAACACATACAGTATAGTGCATACAATATATACAACACATACAGTATAGTGCATATAATATATACAATACATACAATAATTAGTATACATACAATACAAATAATGCATATAATATATACAATACGTACAATATATGCAATACTTTATTGCTATCAC